TCAGAGCCAGCGGGCGGGGAGTGGGGGCAGTTGGGAGGCAGGTTCCTTCCCTTGGAGCCTCTTCCCTCCCGGCTGAGCCTGGCCCTGCCCGGGGAGGCTGGCCGCCTGGAAACTGGGCCAGCGGGCTTTGTCTCCTCTAGGTCTTTATCTCGCACAGATCTCTGACTTTTTCCTATCACTCCACAGGCACTGCACATCTCGGGGCCTGTTTTCTTTTTTATTGATTTTAGAGAGAACGGAAGGAGAGGGAGAGAGGGAGAGAGAGAGAGAGAGAGAGAGAGAGAGAGAGAGATGAGACGCCAATCAGCTGCCTCCTGCACGCCCCCTACCGAGGATCCCGCCGGCAGCCCTGGCATATGCCCTGATCCCAACGGAACAGGCAACCTCTTGGTGCATGGGAGAAAGTTCAACCAACTGAGCCACACCGGCGGGCTGGGCCAGTTTTCCATTCACAGAAATGCAAGCCTGTGAGCAGAACTCTGCCCTAAGAAGCAGAGGAATTAAATAGGAAAGCCATTTTTTTAAAGTAGCACCTAAGATAACAGTGTTATATCAATCATATCAATAAAACTGGGAGGAGGGCAAAAACCAGAAACGGAGCAGCCCAGGGTCTTCTGCAGAAAACAGCAAGTCCATCCAGTGGGCAGCGGCCAAGAGGGTTCACCTTGCTCCACAGCTGGGTGAGTGGGCTCTGCCCGACAGACAGTGGGCAGCGGCTGCCAGCAGCGCTTTCTAGAAAGCCTCAGGCCCACCCTCTTATGATGGCTACAGATACAGGCTTGAGGCCACTGCACAGGGAGGGCAGAACTTACCACATAACGTGGGATACCGCACCAGAGATAACCTTTCTTAACTAAGTTCTTTCTGGTACTAAGTTCTCCGGATCCTCATCAGGGGCTCCTGGACTTATCTTACTTAGATGCTCACTGATGGAGAAATTAACACTGTTCTGGGGCCCAAAGCAGTGAATCCAAGTTAAGGAAAGGGGAAAAGCATTTTCTGGAAGGAGATATAGATGCACAGATAGATTTTCCTTATTAAGTTTAATGGACATGGGTCTCGGTATATCAGATTGTAAGTAATTTGTCAAATTTTCAAAACAAATCAGGAAAAGAACAGCAAAAAGAAAAATTCATTCCCTCCTCCTGAGATTTTCCTACAGATCAACTACCTTCGTTAAGAAAAAGACTACTGGGGCTGGCAGCACTGTGTATTCTAACAGAATAACACCACTTTTCTTAAAGTTCAATTTATACAAGCAGCTATGCTAACTGCTTATAGGAAAATCACATCAATACCAGTTTTCTCTGTCTTTCCAGTACAGATCTGAGAATGCCATCCTGATTTTATTACTCTCAGCCATACAGGAGTGAACAAGAAACCCAACTTTTTCCCAACCTGGCTCTGAAGTTTATTATTAATGTTACCATCATCAATATTATGTAATGAATGTCATCACCATTATTACAATTATGAATTGGGCGGCCAAACTAGTGAAAATACTGTTCACAAACTCCATGGCAAGTGAAACAATGACCTTAACTATCTATTCCTTTTTAAAAAAATGTATGCATTCCTCTTTACCTTCAATTTTTCTAGGTGAGCCAGGAGAGGGAAGACTTCAGAGCTTAAAGTGCAGTACTAACTATGTAGGTTCTCAGTGAGCATAATGCCATCTCCTAGAGAGTAACTTGGGAATAATCACTGTTGGAGGCATTTTCATCATTATTTTTAAATTAAAATTTAACTTTAGAGTAGTTTCAATTTACAAGAAATCTGTGAAAATAACAGAATTCCCAGGCCCCCACGCCCACTTCCCCCTTCCTATTAACATCCTAAATTAGTATGGTCCATCTCTCACAATTAAAGAGCCAATGTTGATATTATTAACTGAAGTCCATACTTTATTCCATCCTCCTTAGTTTTTCACCTACTGCCCTTTTTCTTCGCCAGAATCCCACCCATGACACCACATTACATTTCGTCGTCACGCCTCCTTACTCTCCTGGTGTAGCTGTGACAGTTTCTCAGATTCCCCTGTTGTTTGAGGATCTTGGCAGTTTTGAGGAGTGCTGACCAGGTATTTGTAAACTGGGACATTTTGTCAGTTGGAATTTCTTTGATATTTCTTTTTATGATTATGGGGTTTGGAAGGAAGACACAGAGGTAAAGTGCCATTTTCATCACAGATCAATAGCACATACTATTGCTACAACTTAGGTGATGTCGACTTTGATTCCCTGGATGTGGTGATGTTTGTCACACTTGTCCAGTAAAGGTGTTCTTTTCCCGTTTCCATATTGTACTCTTTGGAATTCACTGCACATGGCGCACACTAATGTGTGTGGAGCTGGGGTGAGAAGGATCTACATCAATTATCTGGAATTTTTCCACAGACTTGTCTATTCTCCCCATTTCTTTATTTATTCAATCATTCATTTACATCAGTATGGACTCCTAGATATTTATTTTATATGTCGGGTTATAATCTAATTCTATTTCATTAATGTGTTGCTCCAATTGGTCCAGCGTTGGTGACTGGAAGCTTTCAGTTACTAAGTCCCCATCAATGTGTGCATATGTGTCCTCAGACTCCTCATGTATGTTTCCTTCCCAAGTCCTACAATTGGTTATTTCTACTAAGGAATCCTGGTGCCTTTACTGGAAAGTGGTATTAGAGACTCAATCTAAGAGAACTGAGAGTCTGTATCCTAAGGACAATGGGCTAAATCATCACTTTGAGAGATTTTACAAAATATCCAAGCCATAACCCAGGTTATAGCAAACAACAGACCTTCATGTGAAACAGAGGGCCTGAGAGTGAGGGCTGAGTGCAATCCTTAATAAGGGAGAGAATGTTAAAAGATCTTTCCAAAGTATTGACCTCTCTAAACTTAGCTCCTCAACTGAAAATTGAGATAACCCTGGCCGGTATGGCTCAGTTGGTTGGGCGTCACCCTGGGCACTAAAAGGTTGCCTGATTCCTGGTCAGGGCACATGCCCGGTTTGCAGGCTCGATCCCCAGTAGGGGGCATGCAGGAGGCAGCTGATTGATGTTTCTCTAATATCAATGTTTCTCTCTCTCCCTCTCCCTTCCTCTCTCTCTTTCTCAATCTTCTAGTATGGTTGTTAGAATTAAGCAAGAGGAGGACCTTTTAAAGTGCCTTGAAATAATACCTGGCACATAGCAGGCACTTAATACACTATAATTTTTTTAAAAAAAGACAGCATGGGACTTTGACCTCTGATGCAATAATTGGGTCCACTTTACCAAAATGATTATTTCATTTATAGGTTTTATACTAGAAAACATAAAGAGAAAATGTTTTAACAATTATTTGATACTTTCTTTCCTTTTAGGAAGAGATCAATTTCTCTTTATAACCCAGGTATTATCTTACAATTAAGTGATTACAGTAATGACAACAATTTCACATTTCACTTCTACGTTAATCCAAACGGTCTTTTCAGTATTTCATAGGCCACACAGCTTATGAATATTGCAGGGAGCACTTTTATGATATTTGGAGTGAGGCCCCTGAAAAAGCCCATTTTTCCTTCTTTGTAATATATATCTTGAATGAGATGAATCATAGTTGTTGTTTTTTCCTTCTGTGCTATAAATTGAAAAAAAAAATCAGTGTAATTCAATATTTAATCTTCCCCTTTGTAATACTGTAAGCAAAAAATAATAATAAAATAAAATAAAAAATATTTAATCTTCATATAGTCAGACAGTACAATGATTAACGAGAATTTACAGGGAATGAAATTATTTCAGAGTACACCTTGCTCCCTACCTATAGAATAGTTCCATGTGGTCCAATACCATACTCACTAGACACATGTGGCTATCTGAATCTAAATTAATTAAAATTAAGTAAAACTGAAAGTTTAGTTTCCCAGTTGCACCACACTTCCAGTGCCCAACAGCCATGTACGCCTTGCAGCTGCCGTGCTGCACAGCAGACATGAGAGCTTCCCATCCTGCAGGAGCTCTGCACAGCACTGAAAGTCTTCAATGAGGACCTCACAGGAGCCCTGGGAATGGAGGGTGACCTCAATAGTCTGCTAGGGGATGGGCAGGTGATGGGATGGATGGAGAGATTCCCCACCCGGAATGCCATGTAAACTAAACCCCAAAATCTTCCTAAAAAGAAGTGGGGGAATGAATGTAAGAGAATATTGCTTACTACATGACCCCTTAAGGCAGTGGTTCTCAACCTTTTGGCCCTTTAAATACAGTTCCTCATGTTGTGACCCAACCATAAAATTATTTTCATTGCTACTTCATAACTGTAATGTTGCTGCTGTTATGCATCGTCATGTAAATATCTGATATGCAGGATGGTCTTAGGCGACCCCTGTGAAAGGGTCGTTCAACTGCCAAAGGGGTCTCGACCCATAGGTTGAGAACCGCTGCCTTAAGGAATTTACTCAGGAAGATACTAATAGGATTATGTGAGAGCTTTTTTTTTTCCAACTTAAAGGGTATTTTCTTAAAATCTAAATTTCTGACTTTACACCTAAGAGGAACAAGCAGATGCCCTCCCTTCAGTTTCACGTCTCCTCGCCAAAGAGAACAAAACAGCATGTTCAACTGCACAAATGTATTAAGTTCCCGCTGCAGGATGTGGCAAAGGAATTCCAAGTTCATCCTGAGCTACTGCTGATTCAATCTGAGGAAAGTAAAACCTTTCCTATTGCTCTGCTTGGCGCTTCCTAACGGTAAACTCTGGAAAACGACCACTGGGAACAGAAACATATGTGCAGAGTTCCAAGTAGAACTTCGTAGAGGAAAGAAAATCTAAGCTCCACAAAAGGCTCTACGATAAATTCAAGATCATGCTTTAACAATCAGAAGTTAGCTTTTTATTCAGCAATTCTACAGTTTTTCTGATTTTGAAATCAATTTCTACTCATTTAAAACAACTTGTGCCAAAACCGGTTTGGCTCAGTGGATAGAGCATCGGCCTGCGGACTGAAGGGTCCCAGGTTCGATTCCGGTCAAGGGCATGTACCTGGGTTGCGGGCACATCTCCAGTGGGGGATGTGCAGGAGGCAGCTGATCGATGTTTCTCTCTCATCGATGTTTCTGACTCTCTATCTCTCTCCCTTCCTCTCTGTAAAAAATCAATAAAATATATTTTAAAAAAAAAACAAATAGCCAAACCGGTTTGGCTCAATGGGTAGAGCGTCGGCCTACGGACTGAAGGGTCCCAGGTTCGATTCCGGTCAAGGGCATGTACCTTGGTTGCGGGCACATCCCCCATAAGGGGCGTGCAGGAGGCAGCTGATTGATTTCTCTCATTGATGTTTCTAACTCTCTGTCCCTCTCCCTTCTTCTCTGTAAAAAAAAATCAATAAAATATATTTTAAAAAAACAAATAAAACAACTTGTTTTAACTTCGTTTTTTTATTTTTAATTCATGGAATTAATAATGATTTTATTACTTCTTACTTCATTAGCTTTTTAAAATTTGTTTTTTGTTGCTGTTAATCCTCACCTGAGGGTATTTTCCATTGATTTTTAGAGAGAGTGGAAGGGAGGGGGAGAGACAGAGAAAGAGAAACATCAATGAAAGAAAGACATTGATTGGCTGCCTCCTGCACTCACCCCAACGAGGGCCAGGGATCAAACTGCAACCTACATATGTGCCTGGACCAGAATCAAACCTGCAGGCCTACGCTCTATCCACTGAGCCAAACCAGCTAGGGCAATTTCATTAGCTTTTTAAATTTATTCTTACTTCATTTAAAAACCCACACACTCACCTTGAGCCTGCATGCGTGTTCTAAGAAGGGTCAGAGGGAAGCTGACTATCTGACCACTGGTTTGTGACAACGTGCTACATCCCAGCAAAATCATTAAGCCGGGGTCTACAGAGTTTCCTGCATAATGTTCAAGCCAATAGTTCTTCAAAAGCTGGAAGAGAAGAAATCAGAAAACATCCTTTAACTACTGTGCAGGTCGAAGGAGAAGAAATTCATTGTTCACACAACTGCAGGAAACATTACTGAGTAGCTTCTTGATTCTGGAATGATATTGAGCATTTCCGTAGATGTCACCTCAGTTAATCCCTCAGAAACCTGACAAGTCAGTATTGTTGCCTCCATTTTATAAATTTCATAAATGAGCCCTGACTTGTTTGGCTCAGTGGATAGAGCGTTGGCCTGCGGACTGAGGGGCCCGGGTTCGGTTCCAGTCAAGGGCATGTACCATGGTTGTGGGCACATCCCCAGTAGGGGGTGTGCAGGAGGCAGCTGATTGATATTTCTGACTCTCTATCCTTCTCCCTTCCTCTCTGTAAAAAATCAATTTTAAAAATATTTTTAAAAAATTTTTCGTAAATGACGGAACTCATTCAGAGAGACTTAAGTTTTCAGGTCAGAAGCTACTTCATGAAAAGTCATTTATAACCAATTTTTAGAATAAAAACCGTTACTGTGCCAAATTTTCCAATGTAACACATAATGTCACATTATGGGGATAAACTCACCTCAAAAACAGTAAGGTCTGTGCCTGCATAAGGCATAATGCTTAGCAAGTTAGGGATATAGCCTTTGAAAAAGGTTCTAACACCTTCTTGTTTCAGAAGCTTCTTGCCACAATCAATAATCCCTGAGTACTGTCCAGTTTTACCTACAGTCAGTCTGGTCTTTATTACCTAAATGGGGAAGAACATATTGAAAATATATTACCAGAGTCATTCAGCTCACCTAGCAATCTAGAAAGCTATACTGTATCACAATGTTTAGTAATTATCATAGAAATCAAAAAAGAAAGCAATCTTAAACATAATTTTGATTCCTTACTGACTCAAACACGAACTGATAAAGTATAGAGCTTTTTTAAAAAATTAAACAGGAGAATATAACTCATCACTGTGGCTCTAATTGGTATATCCATTCAAACCCCCTTACTGGGCTGTAAGGCAACATATTCTGAAACACATTCATTACTGCTTCAGATAAGTTGGTTTTTTTTAAGTGCTAAATGAAATTGGCTCTTTCTCTCATGCTGGTGGTACCTCTTGCCAAAACTACAGCCAAGCTTAACCAGTTTGGCTCAGTGGATAGAGCGTCAACCTGCGGACTGAAAGGTCTCAGGTTCGATTCCGATCAAAGGCATGTACCTTGATTGCGGGCACATCCCCAGTGGGGGGTGTGCAGGAGGCAGCTGATCGATGTTTCTCTCTCATCGATGTTTCAGACTCTCTATCCCTCTCCCTTCCTCTCTGTAAAAAATCAATAAAATATGTTTTTAAAAAATAGTATCTACTTTGCCTTGATTGGGTGGATAGGAGGTAATCAACCAAAGACCTTACATGTATATATCCGTAACACATGGACACAGACAACAGGGTGGTGAAGGCCTGGGGTGGGGGGAGAGGGGGGCTGGAGGGGATCAATGGGGGTGGGGTGAGGGACCATATGTAATACTTTCAACAATAAAGATTTATAAAAAAATAAAAACTATCGACTTTGCCTTGATTGGGCAGACTGCCTGAGCCGCCTCTGAGCAGTCAGATGGAAGGCCTTTGTTTTATGACCTTCTCTGCAGGACCCTATACTTTGAATGACCCCATTCTGAAAGTACTGCCCTCCCCAGGGCAGCGCACTCTCTTCTTATCCAATATCTCTGAATTTCCAAATTCTAACCAAACTCACACATTCTATTGGTGCCTTTCATAAAATCCCTAACTAGAAATCATTTCTCCCCTTTAAATTTCCACTAACGCTTCCTATTTCTCTCTCTTCTAGAATTTGTATTTTATATGTTGGACCATCAGCACTGATGTGCGTGTTTTGTCTCCCTTCTGGACTACAAGAAGCTCCAAGACCAAAGGTCTGTCTGACTCATCTCTGGACCTAGAAAAGTACCTCACCCGTAGTGGGTGTGCAGTATTAATGAATGAGTCAATTAAACAGCAGACAACAAAACTGTTATCTTCTTGGTACATTTATAATACTATCTTTATTCTAAATAACAACAACAAAATATATATATATATACACTAAGGCCAACTGATACTTGATATGAGCTTGAAGTCCAGTAGCTATAAAATTGTTTATTATACAAATTCTTGATCCGCAATTCATTTATAACAAATTAGAAATTATTACTTTATTAAACTTTATAATAATACATACCTCCATGGGGTAAATACAGGTCTGAGCAGTTACACCAGCCAATGAACCAGATACAAATCTCTGAATAATTCCTGTTTTAGCACCATCAAAACTAAGCCATTTCTTATACTGTATAAATAAAAGTATTGAAATGTACAATATTACTGAAATGGATTCTATATTGTTTCTAAGTTTATAACATTAATTAGTACTATAAAACTATTTGAAAAAGTATTCTAGATACCTGATATTAACATCTAGTAGAATACTTGATTTCAATTTTTATGCAATTATCTAAGATAATAAGAACCTTTTCCCCTTTTTTCTGAAGAGTAAGTCAGCAACATTAAATCACTTAAGCATCTTCATGACTGTCATACTATTTCATAAAAGACATACAAATGACACAAAGGGTGCACGGAATCTATCTTTTATCTCTTTTTAGCCTCTCACCTTCCATGTGGAAGGTACTAAATATTCTTTGGTAACTGGGTAATCAGGAATAGTAACCAGGTAAATTGCGGTTGTTACAAGGAACAACAGTTTACTCAGCTTAGCTCAAGAAACAGGGAGGCGACTGCAATAGCACATGTGGAAATAAAGAAGGGACCCTAGCTGATTTGGCTCAGTGGATAGAGCATCGAACAGCAGACTGAAAGGTCCCAGGTCAAGGGCACATGCCCAGGTTGCAGGCTTGATCCCCACTAGGGGGTGTGCAGGAGGCAGCCAATCAATGCTTCTCTCTCATCATTGATGTTTCTATCTCTCTCTCCCTCTCTCTTCCTCTCTGAAATCAATAAAAATATTTTTTTAAAAAAATAAGAAAATCAGAAATACCAGCCTAAAGGTCAGGCTTCACAGGAATTAAATAAGTCAAGTTTCAAGAGACTGAAACTGGAAACTCGTTTAGAATCCAAGATAGGCTTAGCAAGAAGATTATCTATCCTAGGCAAGATGCTTTCCTGTTGGCCTTTTCTAGTGGCCTCCAATCAATGCAATCCTCTTAAGAATTAACTCTTTGGTTCTCAAATCAGTGACTTCCCATCAGAAAGTATGATTGGTTCAGTTCATGTGGCAGACACTGGTGTCTGTTCCTAGTACTCATTACCATCTTCTTCCGTTTAGTAACAGCCAACTCAACTATAAACTACATTTCCCTCGTCTCCCTTGCAGCTAGGTTGGGTGGCTAAGTGACCTATGTTGACCAATAAGAAATGAGGGGAAATTGAGTATGCAAATTATGAGACATCTCCTTAAAGATGTTTTTTTTTAATATATTTTATTGATTTTTTACAGAGAGGAAGGGAGAGAGATAGAGAGTTAGAAACATCAATGAGAGAGAAACATCGATCAGCTGCCTCCCGCACATCTCCTACTGGGGATGTGCCCGCAACCCAGGTACATGCCCTTGACCGGAATCGAACCTGGGACCTTTCAGTCCACAGGCCGACGCTCTATCCACTGAGCCAAACCGGTTTCGGCTCCTTAAAGATTTTTGGATTGCTCTTTCCTCTACTTGGGAAATGGCAGATGGGTGTGACCTTTGAAGCTGAGTGTTGAAGATGACAGAGCTACACTGTTAGCCCTGGACTACTTGCCTCTAGCATATTTAAGCTACTCTATCTTGGTATTTCTTTGATACAACAGCTTAGAATGAACCCTAACAAGTACTGAAATTGGTTACCAGCTGGGGGTGCTGTTATAACTAAAACCAACAATTTGTGGCCCTGTTAGGACACAGATACTGCAATCTGAGTCCAGTGCTTTGTGGAAATGCTTGATGAAGCTGCCTCCTATGATAATTTGGAAGGTAGACCGTGTGCTTTCTGGGCCTGAAGCTCTAGGAAAACTGATCGTAAAATCTCAGAATGCTGGTCAGTGTTGCCCACTCCTTGCTGCTTTTAGCAAGATCTATGAAACATGAGCTAAGGCATCTCTCTGCTTTTCTTCCCTGAGCCTTTTCTGAAACTATCGGAGCCTGGCCAGCCCAGAAAATGGAAACCTTGAGATGTGCATAGAGCACTTGTAGACTCTTATGTGATGCTAATAGGTCACACTATTTAAAAACAAATACAGCTCATCTTAACATTAATTGATTAAGTACAATTAAAATATTAAATCAGATTAACAAATTTAAAATAAAACATTCAAATTGCTCAAAGGAAAACCAATATTGAAATATTTTAGAGGGCTTCCTTCACTGTGTCACTGAAATGAAAAGAACTAATAATATACATCAGTTCTGATAATATACTATAATCTATGAAACATTCCTTTTATCCTCACCCGAGGATATTTTTCCATTGATTTTTAGAGAATGGGAGAGGGGAAAACAGAGAGAAACACCGATGTGAGAGAAACACATCAATTGGTTGCCTCCTGCATGAGCGTTGACCAGGGCCAGGGCCGGGGAGAAGCCTGCAACCGAAATCAAAGCCAGGACCCTCGGTCCACAGGCCGACGCTCTGTCTACTGAGCCAAGCTGGCTAGGGCCATGAAACATTCCTTATAAACAAAAGCAATATAAAAACAAAAATAACCAAATGAGAACAAAGTCACTTATGTTTAAATTGACATCTATTGCTTGACACTCCAGTTTTCTCTCATGAAAGCCTGAACTTTTTACACATTAAATTTTAAATCTGATCTTTGTTGTAAAATCCCACAGACGATAGCATTTTACCTGTTCATAGGCCCCGAACTTGATGACCATCTCAGGTGCAATTTTTAAAACATTTGCACTATTTCCTCGCCAAAGAGAACGAATTCCTCCTTCTTTTATCATCTGCTCAAACCCACCAATTAACTTCATTCTCGTTGGCTCTAAACTATGAACCTAGAAAAAAAAGAGAAGGAAGATTTTCCTGGACCAACTAATAAGGCTGTGCCTCATCGCCTGGGGCCCAAAAGAGCTGGCAGAATCTTCAAACTCCCCAATCTCTCTAAAGATGATGATGTCCATCAGTCTGGTGTCAGAGAGCCCCAAAACACAGAAGGTGTGAAACCCAGGACTGAAGTCCCCCAGATTCAGCACCTTGCTGCTCCACGGGTCCTGCAACTGTCCCCACATCAGCTATTGCTCTGAAGCAGCAGCACAGTAAGAAAACTAAGGAAGAAGCGCAGATTCCAGAGGCTGCAGAATCCGGCCAGGAGATGAAGGAAGACAAAGAAAAACACCAGGAACAGATCGCCAAGAGACAGAGGCTGTGCCCTTTGGCAGGTTCTCCCTCTAAATCTGAGTCGGTTAAAAATAAGATTTTCTAAGATCTTAGAAAATAAGATCTGACATCACAACAACAAAAGAGCCCTAGCTGGTTTGGCTCAGTGGATAGAGCATCAGCCTGCAGACTGAAAGGTCCTGGGTTCGATTCCAGTCAAGGGCACCTGCACGGGTTGCAGGCTCAAGCCCCAGTAGGGGGCATGCAGGAGGCAGCAGATCAATGATTCTCTCTCATCATTGATGTTTCTATCTCTCTCTCCCTTCCTTACTGAAATCAGTAAAAATATATTTTAAAAAAACAAAAAACAACAAAAGAAAACCTATTCATAACCCAATACCAATTGTTACAATGTTACCAAAAATCCCAAAGAAAATAAAACACTAAAGTATGTAAATTTAATTACAAATTTAAATTCACTAGGTTGAGGATCATTAATTTTTATACCCTTGCAGAGAAAATATTCAGCAAATATTAAATCTTAATTATTTAACAGATTAAATCATGCAGTATTTTATAACTACTGTTAACAATTTATTACTCAGTAAAAAAAAAAAAAAAGGAAATTAGACAACATTAACTCTAAAGAGGTACAAGTTAGTAATCTGCTCCAAGTAACTTAATTTCCATTTTTAAAAATATTCTTAGTACTTAAATAGTAGAGTAGAACCATGCTATTAGGGCAGCGTCAGAAGCTAGAAATAACTAATAAATTAGACTAATGCTGTCTTATCCACTTTTTTGATAGATTTAGCTACATTTCTGAAAAAAAAAATCTAATAGACTGGTTCTATTATTTTATTATTTCAAATAAAAATTCATTTAAACAGCATATAAGCATCTTTAAGAAATCTTTAATGTAAAAACAAAGATGTAAAAACAGAACTAGATGATAGAGAAAAGTGTGAACACTTGATAAATTAAGAGGATAAGCTTTTACATTTTCAGAAAATTTACAATTTTAATGACTAGTCTGAAATTTTTCAAATGACTTTAATGTGTAAGGGCCACCGAACTTGGCAATCACCTGCATCATGACTCTCAAGCGGTCAAAAGGTGCCGTGCACGTCCTTGAAATGGCGCTAGCTATTCCTCCTACCACCATATGCCGCCACCAATGTCCAGAACTCTTTTCTTCCACAGTAAAGTCATCTGGAATAGCTATGCTCTCCCCTATGTCAATTATCTAATAAAATGTAAAAACAGAATTAGATGATAGAGAACAGTGGAAACACTAGATAAATTAAGAGGATAATTTTTTTACAAAGATCAAAAATCACAAGTTTTTTTCATCTCTCATCTCCTGATAATGAAGACTGACAATGTTCTTAGCACTTGTACTAGACCAGCGGTTCTCAACCTGTGGGTCACGACCCTTTCACAGGGGTAGCCTAAGACCATCAGAAAACACATATATAATTACATATTGTTTTGTGATTAATCACTATGCTTTAATTATGTTCAATTTGTAACAATGAAAATACATCCTGCATATCAGATATTTACATGATGATTCATAACAGTATCAAAATTACAGTTATGAAGTAACAACAAAAATAATTTTATGGTTGGGGGTCACCACAACATGAGGAACTGTATTAAAGGGTTGCGGCGTTAGGAAGGTTGAGAACCACTGTACTAGACCAAATAATTTTTAATAATGCATTCAGATATAGGTTTACTATAAGATCAATGCCCACTGATAAAAGAAATTGAAGACACAAATAAATAGAAAGATATATGGTGCTCGTGGGTAGGAAGGGTTGATATTGTTAAAATGTCCACACTACCCAAAACCACCTACAGATTCAATGCAATCCCCATCAAAATTCCAATGATATTTTCCATAGAAATAGAAAAGAAATCCTAAAATGCACGTGGAACCACAAAACCCTGAATAGACAAAGCAGTCCTCAGACAAAACAAAACTGGAGGAATCACACTCCTGCTTTCAAACTATACTATGAGGCTATGATAATCAAAACAGTATAGTAATGGCATAAAAACAGACACCTAAATTAATGGAACAATCGAGATCCCAGAAATAAACCCTCACAGATACAGTCAACTAATATTTGACAAGGGAGCCACGAATACTCAGTGGAAAAGGATAGTCTCTTCAGTAAATGGTGCTGGGAAAATGGGATAATCACACACAGGAGAATGAAACTGGACCTCTCTCTCACACCACTTACAAGAATTAACTCGAAATGCAGTAAAGGCTTAACCATAAGATCTTAACCTGTAAAACTCCTAGAAGAAAACACAGCAAAAAAGCTCCTTGACATTGGTCTTGGCAGTGGCTTTTTGGATTTGACACCAAAAGCATAATTAACAAAATCAAAAATTAATATGTGGGATTACATCAAAGTGAAAACCTACAAAGTGTGAGAAAATATCTACAAATCATATAGCTGATAAGGGGTTAATATCCAAAATATATTAAAGAAACTCACCCAACTCAGTAACAAAAAAAATCCACTGAAAATGGGCAAAAGAGCTAAAGAGATACAAATGTCCATATATATGAAAAGATGTTCCATATCATTAATCATTGGGGAAATGTGAATCAAAACCACAATGCGCCCAGCCGGCAAGGTTCAGTGGCTGAGCACTGACCTATGAACCTGGAGGTCATGATTTGATGCACATGCCTAGGTTGCAGGCTTGATCCCCAGTACGGGGCATGCCAGAGGCAGCTGATCAATGATTCTCCCTCATCATTGATGTTTCTCTCGCTCTCTCCCACTCCCTTCCTCTCTGAAATCAATAAAAATAAATATTTTTTTTAAAAAAAACAAAATGAGTTACAACCTCACACTTATTAGAATGGCTATTTCCTAAAAAAAAAAAAAAAAAAAAAAAAAAAAGGAAAAGAAATAACAAGTATTGGCAAGATATACATACACACCCATACCCACATAGACACACTTCTATGTACAATAATAAACAATGGTCACTGTACTGTCATGGGAAAGAAGAAGTCCTGCCATTTCCATAATATGGACGGGCCTGGAGAACATCATGTTGAGTGAAATAAGTCAGACACAGAAAGACAAGCACTGTATGGAATTACTTCTATGTGGAATCTAAAAAGCCAGATTCACAGTCTTTCCCTTCAGCGAGCCACTGAAGATCCTGGTGTTGCCATGGGCCGCCGCCCCTCCCAGGGTTACCGGTATGGTAAGAACAGCCGTACCCAAAGTCTCCTTTGTGCTGAGGTGTCCCTGATGCCAAGATCCGCATCTTTGACCTGGGGCAGAAGAAGGCAAAAGTGGACAAGTTCCCACTCTGTGGCACATGGCGTCAGATGAATACGAGCAGCTCTCCTCCGAAGCCCTGGAGGCTGCCCGCATTTGTGCCAACAAGTACATGGTGAAAAGCTTGGCAAAGATGGCTTTCACCTCCGAGTGCGGCTCCACCCCTCCCACGTCATCCACATCAACAAGATGTTGTCCTGTGCTGGAGCTGACAGGCTCCAGACAGGCATGCGGGGTGCCTCTGGAAAGCCCCAGGGCACAGTGGCCAGGGTCCATGTTGGCCATGTCATCATGTCCATCCGCACCAAGCTGCAGACCAAGGATCATGTCATGGGGCCCTACACAGAGCCAAGTTCAAGCACCCTAGCCACCAGAAGATCCACATCTCCAAGAAGGGGGATTGTACTAAATTTAATTCGGATGAGTCTGAAGACAGGGTGGCTGAAAAGCGGCTCATCCCAGATGGCTGTGGGGTCAAATACATCCATCACTGTGTCCCCTACACAAATGGTGGGCCCTGCACTCATGAGTCTCGGTGCTGCCCCCTCCTTCCAACCACCAGTAAACCCTACTTCCTATCCACAATAAAAGTAAATAAAAAGCCAAATTCATAGAAGTGGAGAGTAGAATGGTGGTTGCCAGGAGCTCGGGAGTGGAGGAAATGGGGAGGTGCTGGCCAAAGGGGACGAACTTCCAGTTCTGAGATGACTAGGTTCTGGGGATCCCATGTAAAGTAGAAACAGTAATTACATGAGTTGATGGAGGTGTTAGCCAACCCTACTGTGGTCATCATTTCACAATATAGAAGTGTCTCAAATATGTTATACACCTTAACTTACAAATGTTATGTACCAATCATATCTCAATACATTTGAAAAAACAGACCAAGATATAAATGCAGTAGGAATCAATGAGATGCACATTAAACCAACAAGATATCACTTTATGTCCAACAAAACGGCAAATGTCAGAAAACTGGATAATTCCCAGTAACAGTAATATAAAGAGAAGCAGGAACTTTCTGGCACTGCCGGTGGGAGTGAGCTGGCATAGCAAGCCATTCTGGGAAATAACATGGCTAGATGGTATTTTGGAAAATGGAGACTGAACACCCTAAAAATTTTACAAATGCATATTCCTTCTGACTCAGAAACTCGGGTAACATTCTTTAGGATGCATAAGAGAAAAGCATTTTTTGTGGGTGGGGAATTAGAGATAACACCATGAGGAGAGACTACTGTTTCGTTAGCCACTGAGGCTGAAAGTATTATAGGGATTATGTGACCATAATAACAGCTACGACACTTATGACAGATAAAAAATACAAACTAATCTTACGGTAGAACGCTTCCAGAAGCCAGCAATTTCATCGATACTTTTTGCGGGATGAAGTAAAAAGTAGTACTTCCATTCATCCCAGTCTACTGTCATTGTTCCATCACTGTCCATGCTGGAATTTAAAAAACAAACAGTGCTTACAACATTTATAACAAAGATAGCACCACGGTAAAAATCAACTAAATGCTTCTTACATATTTATGATAGAAGCCATTCCTTTGGACTTCATGAAATTGCTGTACTTTCATATTTTAATAGACTTTATTTGTTAGAAAAATTGAGACTATAGCCCTGGCTGGGTGGGTCAGTTGGTTGAGCGTTGTCCTGTACACCAAAATGTTGCAGGTTTAATTCCCCGTCAGGACACATACCTAGGTTGGGAGTTTGATCCCCAGTCGGGGCACATACAGAAAGCAACTGATCAATGTCTCTCTCTCCCTTCCTCCCTCCCTACCTCTCTCTCTCCCTCCCTCCCTCCCTCCCTTCCTCTCTCTAAAATCAGTAAAAACATATCCTTGGGTGAGGATTTTTTTTAATTGGGAATATAATACAGAATTACACCCCTTTTCCTCTAATGGTATCATCTGACATTATTATGGTACATGTTACAATTAATGAACCAATATTAATCATCATTAACTAAAGTTCACACTATCCTCAGAGTTCCTTCGTTTTTAACTAATGTCCTCTTTTGTTTTAGGGTTATGAGGTCGTCGTCATGTCACCTTAGGCTCCTCTTGGCTGTGTCAGTTTCTCAAACTTTCCTTGTTTTTGGTAACATTGACAGTTTTGAAAAGTATTGATCAGATATTTTGTAGAATGCCCCGCTGATGGAATTTTAACTATTTACTTGTATTTCTCTCACACATGCCTTGCTCTTTTAAAGGGAAGGCTATCTAAAGTCACCTTTATATTGCTAGCACTGAGCACTCAGTAAATGTTAGTTGAATGAATCAATAAATGAATAAAACTGACTGAGGATGAACCTTATACCTTATGAATCTTCTAATAATATTTTTCCTCTGACCCTCTTTTCCCTACTTATAGCTTTTAAGTCAACTTTAAAATAACCTTTTACTTATTAATTTAAAGAGAAGACTCACTTTTTACCATGAAAAATTCAGGGTTTACTTGACTTTTAAGCATCTCAAAATCAAAAAACACAACAGCTATTGTTTCTTTGAAGTCTAAGTTAAAGGTGGAATTAAGTGAAATGCTTTTTCAATTGCATTTTTCTCAATGGAAATTCTAAAAAGCAAATTCCATCCGCCAACAAAAAGATCCGTATGATGTCCAGTCCCAGCCAAGACAAAATAATGGGTGTAGAAAGTATCCTCTCACTATGAACAATTACAAAACTGAACACAACATATGTACGGCCAAGTGCTAAGTTATACAACTCCATCCAACTAACAAACGTAGTTACTAGAGGGTTGTGAGCTTAATGGAAATCCTGAAGGTGAGCAATGTTGAAATAAAGGGAGGGAGGGAGGAAGGGAAGAATGGGCTATATTTATAGAAATTAGTTTCTAACTTAAAATATTAAACAAAAATGAAAACTATTAAAAATAAGAAGGGCTGACCTTTGGAGAATATTTTTTGCCTGAGCTTCAGAAATATCTACACCCAGTGACTTCAAAGCAGTGATTATTTCCGAAGTTTCTATTACTCCTTTAAAAAGTGAAAAAAAATGTCATTAAAGTCTCTCAGAAGATAACAAGGCAAAGTATACTTAGAAAACAATAGTCTTAAAAAGCCCATGTCTTTTATTGGCCATCCATCCCATATTCACAGCCCAAAGACTAAAATGCTCTAAAAGTAAGACACTTTGTCAACTATACTTTAATTAAAAAGTGCTTTACATTCTAGAATTTTTAAAAATAAAAAATGTTTTGTAAATGTGGCACTAAAATATTTGTTGGCAAAACATGTCTCAAACTGATGTGAAGTTAATTTTAATCAATTATTTATCTAATTCAGGGTTATGCATTTGTTTCATTGATGGGATATTCATGTACAGCTGACATTTGAACAATACATGTTTGAACTGTATGGGTCTACTTTTACATGGATTCTTTTCAATAAATACAATAGGGGATTCGCATCCACAGGTTTTGCGTCCCCGAGTTCAACCAACCTCTGAGGGTTCAACCAACCTCTTATCAAAAACAGTATTTTCGAATTCCCAGCCATGGTTTTATAACTACAAATCAAAAATACTGAGCTGGTTTGGTTCAGTGGATAAAGTGTCGGCCTGCAGCTGAAGGGTCCTGGGTTCGATTCCAGCCAAGGGCATATGCCCAGGTTGCAGGCTCGGTCTCCAGTAAGGGGTGTACAGGAGGCAGCTGATCCATGATTCTCTCTCACTGATGTTTCTATCTCTAACTCCCTCTCCCTTCCTCTCTGAAAAAAATAAACATATTTTTTAAATACTGTTTTCCATACACAGTTGGTTGAATCCTTAGATGTGAAGGGCTGGCTAGAGTTATCTTTTTAGGGACTCAAAAGTTGTACTCAGATTTTTTACAGTATGGTGGTCAGTGACCCTAAAGCCCCTATTGTTCAAGGTCAACTGTATAGTTGCACAGTGGTGCCCCAGACCCTAACTGAATTATTAAATAATAACATATATGCACAGTACCTGTTTTCTAAAAGCAAAATTCTAAATTTCTAAACATATCTGGCCCCAAGAGCTGCCATATGAAGTTTGTAGATCTAAGACAGATCTTGATTATTGTACCTAGTTGGAAAAAATTAAAAAGCTAATTCTGAAGATCTGATTCAGGGGCATGAAAATAAAGCCACTCAACATTGGATAAGGCAGTGGTCGGCAAACTGCGGCTCACGAGCCACATGCGGCTCTTTGGCCCCTTGAGTGTGGCTCTTCCACAAAATACCACGTGCAGGCATACAAGTACAGTGCAATTGAAACTTCGTGGCCCATGTGCAGAAGTCAGTTTTCGGCCTGGGTGAGTCTATTTTGAAGAAGTACTGTTGATATTTGGCTCTGTTGACTAATGAGTTTGCCGACCACTGGGATAAGGAAAGCGCTACACAAAAGTGGCCACTGAGGCAGCAGCAATGAGGACGCTGAGAGCAGGTGCCCTGCAGGACCCTGCCAGAGCCTGAGCCACAGGTCCAGGTGGGCAGCAGCCCTGGTGGCAACAGCGGGGCTTCCTACCTACGACGCAGCTCAGGGGCTCAAACAAAATGAAACCAGTGAGACGCCTGCTCCGCCAGAGTGGACCTTGGCCAGACTTTGGGGACTGGGATGTCCCAGTTTGGCTAGTCAAGGCAGAAATGAAAAGATCTATGTTGCTAATCACTATATTACTTTGGGATTTCTATCCTGCCTCAGAAAGACTATTCTCTATTATTACCAGTAACTACAAGCACTGGTGTGCAACTTCACCAGGGACAATAGTCGCGTAATATTTTTACCAATGGCATTCTAATTTCCCTGATGTATCTGACAAGACGGATTCATCAACAAGAGGGTGAAATTTCAGAGCAGCACAAGAGCAGAACATTCAGTGCTAGAGTGGCAGCAAATGGCAGCCCAGACTCATTTCAAGACATGCCTCTGGTGCTACCTCAGTCTGACCGTCCAGAAAGGCCTGCCCCTCCTTCCGGGGAGTGCCCGGAAGCTTGAAGCACTGTGCTTTGGGGATCAAGGGTAATGGAACCACTTTTGTACTCAGGTCAGAAAGCCTCTGATATTCAGGTTATATTTTCTTTGACCCAAGAATCCATCAGTGGAATCCTTTAAACCAGCGGTCACCAACCTTTCGGACCTCATGGACCACCAGCGGGCCGCAGACCACCAGCTGGCAAACACTGCTTTACATCACTTTCCTGGTACACTTACAATTTTTTAATTAACAAAAATTAGATTTCACGAAAGTTAAAAATTAACATATGTTTCTTATATAGATTATAAGTAGGTTCTGATTACCCATGGTGGGTCAGCCACATATGGATGCAGAAGTGTTCTACTCTACATTCACTCTCTCTGAGTTAAGGATTTGTAACAAAGAACAAGTCAGCATGGATACTGCTCACAGCACTATGTATAAGAACAAAAAGCTGGAAACATCCTAAGTATCTAGCAATATGGGACTGATTAGATAAGTTTACTCACAAATGGAATATTTTAGAGTCATTAAAAAATGTTTGTCGCCCGACTATGAATCAGGAGGTTAAGGTTCCATTCCAGGTCTGGGCACATGCACAGGTTGCAAGCTTGATCCCAAATCATGCAGGAGGCAGCCCATCAATGATTCTATCTCATCATTGATGTTTCCATCTCTCACTCCCTCTCACTCTCTAAAATCAATAAAAAATATGTTAAAAAATATGTTTGTGAAGAATATTAAATGAAGTAGAAATGCTTACATGATAACATTAAAAGAAAAAAGCAAGCCCAGCCAGTGTAGCTCAGTGGTTGAGCACTGACCTATGAACCAGGAGGTCACGGTTCGATTCCCAGTCAGGTTACATCGCCAGGTTGCAGATTCAATCCCCAGTGTGGGGCATGCAGGAGGCAGCCAATCAATGATTCTCTCTCATCATTGATGTTTCTATCTCTCTCTTCCTCTTCCTTCTTCTCTGAAATCAATAAATATAAAAATATTTTTTAAAAAAGCAGGATACCAAACTACACACACAGTGTGACTGCAATTGCATCTACAGAGAGAGAAACCAAGGGGGGAAAAAAAACAGACAAAAAAGTTTAAAAGGAAATATAAAAATAAATTAAAATGCTAAATCTGATCTCTAGCCAGCAGCGTTACAAGTAACTTTTACTTTCTTTCAGGAGGTTTTCTGTGCTATCTAACTTTCCTGCAACTGAAATATTTTCAAAATAAACAAGAAAACAATAAATGACATTTTTTTAAACTACCATGACATATACTGCAAATGAGTGGTGAGACCTACCCACTCAGCCAAGTAGCATAGCAGAGGACAAAAACTATTTTATTAAAAGATCGTAACCAAAATTAATTAATTAGTTAATTAATTTTTTAAAAAAGATGGTAACCACATAGAAATTGTAACAATAAATACAGTTTATATATTATTTCTAGAAATTAAAAAAATACTGCTAAACAAGTAACAGAATTGAATCTTTGATAGCAGGAGTTAATTAAAGGCTAGTAAACATATCCTTTGGTACTGCTACTGATACTAAGCTAATTGTGAATAAAACACACACATACGCACCATCATTATTTAAGTCCAGACTCTTAAATGCCAGCCTCATTTTTTTCTCATGGTCTTTAAGGTATTGCAAAAATTCTTGGAAGTCCAATCCTGAATCAGCATTGGTATCTCCAGCTTTAAAAATTTCCTGCAAGAAAGAAGAAACCATTGCAGAAACACATTGCAAGTGAAGCCCTGTATCATTCCCACATTGGCAATTAACAATTTCACTCATGCTAACTATTATGTCCATCCACAGCCATTGGCCTACTTTTTCAGTCACAGATACAAGGCTAAGTAATATATATATATATATATATTAATTGTGCAATACTAGAGTCAATAGCCACATGTCATTTCAAATAATTATGGATCTTAGAAGAATTTACCTGCGGTGATCAATGAATACCAAATACTTTGAAAGAATAAAGATACCAAGATAGCCCTAACTGGTTTGGCTCAGTGGATAGAGCGTCGGCCTGCGGACTGAAGGGTCCCAGGTTCGATTCTGGTCAAAGGCATGTACCTTGGTTGCGGGCACATCCCCAGTAGAGGGTGTGCAGGAGGCAGCTGATCAATGTTTCTCTCTCATCGATGTTTCTAACTCTCTATCCCTCTCCCTTCCACTCTGTAAAAAAATCAATAAAATATATTTTTTTTAAAAAATAAAGATACCAAGATACATAGTTCTTGCCATCAGAGACTCCCACTCTATTAATTAAATGAGATAAAATATGTGCAATTCTAGCCTGGCCGGTGTTGCTCAGTGGTTGAACATCGACCCATGGACCAAGAGGTCACCAGGTTCGATTCCTGGTCAGGGTACATGCCCGGGTTGCTGGCTCAACCCCCAGTAGGGGGCGTACAGGAGGCAACCAACTGATGTTTTTCTCTCATCCATGTTTCTCCTCTCCCTTCCTCTCTCTAAATTCAATGAAAAACATATTTTTTTAAATGCTAGAGATAATATATTAACGATTAAGCCATTAATCTGAAGGGACTAAGCTGAGTGAGAGGATATAAGTACGAGGTAATGAAAGAAAAGTTAATTCAGAGGCGTTTTTGGAGCACAGAACTCTTAAGGCATTTCCTGAGCCACAGGAACGTTTGGACTTCGTGCCAGGCACACACATCTCACGGGGGACACAAGGGGGTGGTACCTGAAGACTGTGTAGCATTGAGAGAGGAGAAATAGAATAATTGTTTACTCTTGATATGCTGTCACTTCCATCTGAACAATTCTTAAATAATCAAGTCAAAGACCCCTCCAGAGAAGGAAGACACCCCTAACTAGGGCGACGTGCTAAACCATCAGCTAGAGTACTGTCACCCCACAGCTGAGGGTCTGACCCACCCCACACACAACCCTGTGGATGTCAGACACACAGCAGCTCTGGGGCCCCATCTGGGCCTGTCCTGCGAACGCCCTAAGTTAGCATTTTGAAAAACCCTAACTTAACTCTGGCGCCGTGTCACATGTAGAAATTTTTTGATATTCGCAACCATAGTAAAACAAAGACTTATATTTTTGATATTTGATATATTTAAATGCCATTTAACCAAGAAAAATCAACCAAAAAAATGAGTTCGCCTGTCATCTCTAGGGCCTAATCCAAGAGGTCTTTTAAAAAACTGCATTCCCAGAGGCTAGCGCAGCTCCTGAAATCCTGTGCGGGCTCAGTGCATGGCGACTGGGCCACCGGAAACCCACCGGGCAGGGCCTGTCTCAGGAGGTGGAGACGGTTCCCTGCGTTACTGTGCGAGCGGGGCTCCCGGGCGAGAAGCCCACCCTCACACTCGGGCCTCTCTCGGGAAGCGCCCCAGAAAGGCTGTCTGGCCTCCCCCTCTACTCAACGTCCCTCCAGGGCCCGGAGCCACGTCCAGGGGTCAAGCACCTTCTCCGACTGCAGGCCAAACGTGGAGCTCCAGTTTTTCAGCCCTTCTCGGAGCTCCGTGATGTCCACCACCCCGTCCCCGTTGCGGTCAAGGTCTTGGAAGAGGATCTTGTAGGGGAAGACGTCCTCGTCCTCCTGGCAGGCGGCGGTGGGCAGCACGAAGCCCCGCACCCGGCGCCGCAGGGCCCCTGTGGTGCTGGCCGGCGGGGGCCAGGCCCCCAAAGCCGCCTGACCTCTGGGCCCCGGAGAGGCGGC